CCTGTCCTTACACTTGGCAGTAAAGGCATACACTGAAACTTATTTTGGGATATTATTTTGAAAAAAGGTGCATTTGCGACCACATGTCCATATGAACATTTTTTCTTATTTTTGATCCAGGAACACGCACACCCTGTTTGTAAACATCCTTTTGACTCAGCCTGTATAAAACATTAAAAAAATCGTATAAACGTTATACATTTAATTAATTACAACAGCGTAAATATTATGAGTACGGTTTCGCAGTTAATAAATGTTTCTAAGGGCGTAAATACTCCCACTTTAACTGCAATAGCAGTAACACGGAATTGATTTCCATTCTATGAATATAACGGTAGAAAATTTCGTTCACCACCAAATTCACTGATATAAAATTTTAGAAACATAAATAGCGTTTGAAAGAAATGAGGCCTCATAAAATACGTGAAATCTGCAAACAGAATTTTATTCTTTTGTCAATGTGAGTATATCTGTCATAAATCAGACTCATCTGCAATCAGAAGGGAAACTCGGTAGAAAATATAGCCAGTAAGAGTAACTGAAATGTATGTTTCAGGTACATCTCTCTAAACAAATTAAAATTCGATTTCACCTTGTCTAAACAGCGTTCGACAACCACACTTTGTTTCTAGATAGAGAGTAAAATTGTTTTCACAACGCAAATAAGATATAAAAATATGCAAAAAAAAACACTTACAAAGCAAACAAGATTAAGTAGATATATTATCACGGATGTTATCAACTGCTAAAATGACAACGTATATGGATTTACCAGAGACACTTGACTTCTGGATTGCACGTCTGTTGGGTTCTTGTACTTTGGCCGCCGTCCAAGGCTAAAATGCACACGACGTTTCGCAAACCGTATCCGTTTTCGTCATCAGGTTTATGGGGAGGGGCAGTGATAGAGAATTTCGTTCGCACCCAACAGATTAGGAGCCACCGACCCATACACCGAAAGACGAAAACGGATACGGTTACCGAAACGTCGTGCACATTTTAACGTTGGACGATGGAAAAAGTCCAAAAACCCAACAAACCCTACTGTATCACACTATCGTCACAAACCTGCAGAATCCAGTTCTAAATTGTTGCCCACTGTAATCTTCTAAATGTTCACGGACGTTTCAGGGGCAACAGATCGATGACTCATGGCCCTGATAGTGGAGGAAGCAAGCGCCTCTGAAACGTCGGTAAACTCCCACTAGACTATACGGCGCAACAACCCACAAGACAGCAAGACTTAAAATTCTTCAATAATTCATTCGTTCTTAGCATTGAATGTCATTTTTCCCTCCAAACATGAGACTATAGCAAATGTCATTCGGGATGACTTCATCAAATTCCAAGATTGTTTTAAGATTTGTTCTGTTTTTGACACCTACATTCTTACACTTAAACATATATAACACAGCCATAAACCTTCCGGTTATGAACTTAACAGAATCATAGAACATGTTCATATTTTTTAACGTTGATCTTTTTAGTGCTCTATAAGCATCGCACTTTTTCAAAATTACGATCCGTTACATCCAATTTTGGAATGAGCTCTACAAGTTTTCCTGGTATAGCACCAAGCACAGAATAGGCTTTTATGTAAGCTATATTTATTTAACGATATTT